TCTCCTCTCTCTCACAGAACTCTTCTCTCTCACACAGATGTCTCCTCTCTCTCACAGAACTCTCCTCTCTCACACAGAACTCTTCTCTCTCACACAGAACTCTTCTCTCTCACACAGAGGTCTTCTCTCTCTCACAGAACTCTTCTCTCTCACACAGAACTCTTCTCTCTCACACAGATGTCTCCTCTCTCTCACAGAACTCTCTCTCTCGCACACAGAAGTCTCCTCTCTCACACAGAACTCTTCTCTCTCTCTCGCACACAGAAGTCTCCTCTCTCACACAGAACTCTTCTCTCTCACACAGAACTCTTCTTCTCTCACACAGATGTCTCCTCTCTCTCACAGAACTCTCCTCTCTCACACAGAGCTCTTCTCTCTCACACAGAACTCTCCTCTCTCTCACAGAACTCTTCTCTCTCACACAGATGTCTCCTCTCTCTCACAGAACTCTCCTCTCTCACACAAAATTCTCCTCTCTCACACAGAATTATCCTCTCTCACACAGAAGTCTCCTCTCTCTCAAAGAACCCTCCTCTCTCTCTTTGCACCCTCCATCTCTTTCTTCTTTCATTGTTCCTTTCAATCTCACTTTAACTTGCACTCTCTTACTCAAACTGCTCTCTCTCTCTCTCTCTCTCTCTCTCTCTCTCTCTCTCTCTCTCTCTCTCTCTCTCTCTCTCTCTCTCTCTCTCTCTCTCTCTCTCTCTCTCTCTCTCTCTCTCTCTCTCTCTCTCTCTCTCTCTCTCTCTCTCTCTCTCTCTCTCTAGAGCGACGGTCTCGCATCACGCAGGTCGGCTGTCAATCCCCGACACCTCTGTCATTGTGACCATATGTACATCCCTGCCTTTCTCCTGGTTATTATCTTACCTTACCTTGCGACCTTTCTAGATTGTTACAAGAGAGATAGTCACTATGAAAAAACAATCCTTGACACACGTGTCCGCTCTTCACCACCACTGCTATATCCTTATTATAAAAAATACATGTGTTATGTCTAAATCAGGAGATACAGGTGAAAGTTAATCTCTAGAGCTGTTGACATTGTGTACAATTTCCTGAAAAAAACAATCCTCTTCTCTACGATTGTGATTGTTTTGAAATGTGTTCATAAAATCGGATGCATAGATATTATTTACGTAACTTGATATTTTTTTTTTTAATAATTTCTTAGCATTTGTTATTTTTTTAGGTCAATTGTTCCCTGTAAATCAAAAGTATTGTAATATACAATAAATTTATGTTTTGTTTAGTCTACGTAAGTCCCGACATTAAATTGTTATATGGTTTTCAATATACATCTTATTTTATTCGTAAGCAGAATGTCGGTCAAGTTCTCTTTGTTTTGCCCGACAACACAACCTGACCTAACCTCACCGTCCAGCCTGCACCCATAACACGTTCACACCTGGCCTAACAACCCATAGTGTGCCCATGACCTGACCTAACCTGACTCCCAAGCTTGACCTCATTACCGTCATCAGCATCCAGCAAGGCAGCTTCATCTGTTACTCTCCCATCTCCTGGGCTGTCTTCGTAACTCTTGACCACACTGTATCTCTTGGGAGATTTGAGAATGCACGTTCTGTATTAATTAAGTTTCAGAGTAAATGTTTGTTCTTTTGCCGTGTTTTCTACACATTAATACTGGTATACAGAGTATTAATGGTGTGTATAGCTTGCCACCACAGGATGGTGGCTCCCCTCTCACAGCCTCTCTGGTGCCACAACTGTCAATACGTAAGATTATATCTTTTGAGTTGTACGTGGAGTCGACTCGGTTTCGAATCCACACTCTGTCCCTAAGGTTTTCTCACAAATATCCCGGTATTGTGAGCTCTTTGATCGCCAGATTAGATCCTTATAATTAGATTCTTCCATATATATGAGGATTAGAGGAAAATCAGGTCTCTCTTTCTTTAGGGGGGGGGCGGGGATGAGGTTTACTTTTTCCGATTCTCTTTTTCTCTCCTTATTAACACTCTTATAGTTAGGGTTCAAGGCTCCTGCCTCCGTCACCCTCTAACGTGTTCAACGCCTTTGACAGCTTATCTACCTTTTATTCTCTCTTCTTTGTCATGTGTCTGAAATTGATTTTGAAAACATTATTAAATATATTTTTTTCGTGAGCGACATCATATGATTATTTAAAGTTTCTCTGAAAATCATCAAGATCTGTTACACCGGGAATGTGGACACGTGAGTGTATTCACCGACACACTAACACTTCACTCAACGACTCACAAACACATTGGCCCACTTCATTCAAGGACACATACACACACTTGTGCCCTTGCACACTTCACACATGAGCTTCTAGACACACTGACACAGACATATAGGATGTAATTCTAAACACTTGCCTAATTCCCAGGTACACATTATACTGCTAGGTGAACTATGGCATGAGGTGAAAGGAAATTGTGCCGCCCAAACGTCTCGCTCTACCCGGGAACCGGACCAATGACCTTTCAGGTCATGAGCCAACAGCGCTGACCAGCACGCTGCAGGATCTTGCTGGCATCCCTGATGATTCCCAGGTGATGTAATGCATTTGTACACAACACAATTCAACATTAAATCGTATTGCATTTTTCCTGCCTTGCCTCTCTCTGTATATATAAATATCATTCTTTGTGCTCGCCTCATTTGAGAGTGGCTTTGTTGGCCAGACATGCTCACCCTCTCTATAAATTGGATAAATTAGCGCATCAAAGGGGCGCTGGAGGTATTGAACTTTAGAAGGCAGAGGGGAACCCATGGCTGTGTAATCAATTTCGTTATTGGTGTTTTGGAAATAAATGAAAATGTGACTAAGAAAAAACCTTCAGCCGCCATACAGGTCGTCAGCCTCAACAAAACAGAGGAGCTCTTGCTCTGGGGCACAGAGTACAGACTCGTGTGGGAGATAAACACAGAGACGAGGTAAAATACGGACTCCCATGGACGAGGACAGGAAGGCTGTCTTGGTTTATCCAGATCCCGCTAGGTCAACAACAGACCTCTTTCAGGATGCAACCCACAACAGCCGCTTGACTCCCGGGTACTTGCTAGGTGAACAGGGGTAGTTTGGTGTAAGGAATCGTCCTGAAATTAATGTTTTGTTGTTATCAGCCTTTGCACCAGGTGCAGGAAGTATTCCAGAAGCAACTGATTTACACAAATGAACGAGGCTATCATGCCTGTGAGTGACTCCCACCGCAGTAAGGGTGGTCGAAGTGACCAGAGATTTTGTGTTATATTTAACACAAATATACGCATCGACATAGCAGAATGATCTTCTCTGTGCAGTGCCGTGCCTTAGTTCTTGGAGAATCACTTTCGTCTTATACTTAAGACTAGTACCTCAGCAACATGACCAGCTGCAAGAAAGCAGTCTTTCAGAACCCTGCGTTGCAAATTGTTGATGTTTTGTTTCATCTTACTCCATTAAAGCCTTAGATCTTCTATAATCAATCTTAATATTTTCCTCTCTGCCCCTTAACCCTTAATGTTGTCATCTTCCCTAATGCCAAGATGTTTTCCTACGAGAAACCTTGAAGTTTTCATCACCTCGGTTGCCAAGATGTTTTTGACGACCTCGTGATTGATGAGTTATCTACTGAACAGGACCGTACACCGTGTAGGAGGGAGTTGTCTGTCGTCAAGGATAGGCTATATATCGTTAAGGAAAGGCTGTCTGTCGTCAAGGATAGGCTATATATCGTTAAGGAAAGGCTGTCTGTCGTCAAGGAAAGAGATGGTCGTGAAGAATCATAACGGCGCAGAAAAGATTTATGCTTCACGAAATGAAGAAGAAGACACGGTGAATGAAAACCTTTACAACGTGAATGAAAAACTTCACATCGTGGATGAAAAACTTTACATCGTGAATGAAAAGCTGTTCAAAGTGAATGAAAAATTTCACATCGTGGATGAAAAACTTTACGTCGTGATAATAAAACAAAGGTCAAAGTACCTTTATTGTAAAACCAGTAATAAAAAAGAGAATTCATTATAAAAAATACATTGATGAAAACTAAATAGCTAAATGGCACGAACAAAATAGATATCGTAATATATACGACATCTATTGTAAAGAAAAGACATAAAAAGTGGAAAATATATTTATGATGAACATAAAGATAACAAAAGCATACCGGGCAGGATGACATAAAGACTGAGGGAAGGAAGGAAACATTAAGGCTGAGGAAGACAGGAAACATCACCATCACGCATCCTGTCTTCAGTAACCACAAGGTGAGGTAACTACCTGTCCTCTCCTCTCACTACAAGACAAGCTGGACACCTCAGTCCGTCCTTTCTTCTAGCTCGTCGCGTTTTCTATCACTATCCCTCAATCAGTTAAAAATACGACATATTACTAAAAAATAATGCACCATTTTATTGACGTTCTCGAGGGTCTGTTGAGCTCCCACGTCGGGAATGCGTTTCGGCGAGTTAGTTAGATATTACTGATGAGATGAGGAAGAGAGAGAGAGAGAAACAGACACAAATAGTGAGAGTCAGAGAGAGAGAGAGAGAAAGACAGTCAGAAATCGAGTCAGAGAGAGAGAGAGAAAGAGGGACAGAGACAGAGGGAGAGATACATACAGATAGAAAGTGAAGGAGAGGAGAGGAGAGGAGAGGGGAGAGTTGAGGTTAGAGGATTGACAGATGGATAGCCAGAGGGGTTGAGGGACGGGAAAGCTCAATATGGGGTTACGAATGGTCTTATTGACATATCCATCACGTTAAAGCCAAGGGGATTGAATAGTTCTGCCGGAGAGTGAGAGAGAGAGAGAGAGAGAGAGAGAGAGAGAGAGAGAGAGAGAGAGAGAGAGAGAGAGAGAGAGAGAGAGAGAGAGAGAGAGAGAGAGAGATGAGAAGAGCAAAGAGAAAATGACTTGCTGTGTACTAAAGTTATCTGCCTGAAAGAAAATCAAATTATAGTTCCTGGCAAACCCACAAATACTGTTTGTATGGACGAGGCCAGCCATGGTAGAGAGACATAAAGGTCGGTCATGTCACAGCGACAGAAAGGTCAGTCAGGTCACAGCGACAAAAAGGTCAGTCAGGTCACAGCGACAGAAAGGTCGGTCAGGTCACAGCGACAGAAAGGTCGGTCAGGTCACAGCGACAGAAAGGTCAGTCAGGTCACAGCGACAGAAAGGTCGGTCAGGTCACAGAGACAGAAAGGTCGGTCAGGTCACAGCGACAGAAAGGTCGGTCAGGTCACAGAGACAGAAAGGTCGGTCAGGTCACAGAGACAGAAAGGTCGGTCAGGTCAGAGAGACAGAAAGGTCGGTCAGGTCACAGAGACAGAAAGGTCGGTCAGGTCAGAGAGACAGAAAGGTCGGTCAGGTCACAGCGACAGAAAGGTCGGTCAGGTCAGAGAGACAGAAGGGTCGGTCAGGTCACAGCGACAGAAAGGTCGGTCAGGTCACAGCGACAGAAAGGTCGGTCAGGTCACAGAGACAGAAAGGTCGGTCAGGTCAGAGAGACAGAAAGGTCGGTCAGGTCAGAGAGACAGAAAGGTCGGTCAGGTCACAGAGACAGAAAGGTCGGTCAGGTCACAGAGACAGAAAGGTCGGTCAGGTCACAGAGACAGAAAGGTCGGTCAGGTCAGAGAGACAGAAAGGTCGGTCAGGTCACAGAGACAGAAAGGTCGGTCAGGTCACAGAGACAGAAAGGTCGGTCAGGTCACAGAGACAGAAAGGTCGGTCAGGTCAGAGAGACAGAAAGGTCGGTCAGGTCACAGAGACAGGAAGGTCGGTCAGGTCACAGAGACAGAAAGTTCGGTCAGGTCAGAGGAGAAGACAGCAGAAATGAAGAAAGGAGAAGATAAATGTGAAATCGAAATGAGATAAGTACATTTAGAGAGAAGTAGACAAACATAAATAGCTAAAAGATATGTAGATGAATAAATAGAAAACTAAATACAAATTAGCTAAGTAGTAAATAGTAAATAAAATAAGTAATAAATAGTAAATAAAATAAGTAGTAAATAGTAAACAAAATAAGCAGTAAATAGTAGTAAGTACTAAGTGATGAAGAAGAAGAACACAGCCAAACAACTTTCGCCATAAACTTCGGGGACCCGTACGGGAGCCGGTCGGCCGAACGGACAGCACACTGGACTTGTGATCCTGTGGTCCCGGGTTCGATCCCGGGCGCTGGCTAGAAACAATGGACAGAGTTTCTTTCACCCTATGCCCCTGTTACCTAGCAGTAAAATAGGTACCTGGGTGTTAGTCAGCTGTCACGGGTTGCTTCCTGGGGGTGGAGGCCTGGTCGAGGACCGGGCCGTGGGGACACTAAAGCCCCGAAATCATCTCAAGAAAACCCGAGAGAAACATACTTCAAAATAAATGTAATTAAAATGTATGGCAATAACACACACCGACAATGTATCTCCAATATTGTATACACACACGTCGGGAAGGATGGGGGGGGGGGGAGTGATGGAGGGGAGGTTGTAGAGGGGGGATAGGTAGTGAAGGGAAGGAGGGGTGGTTAGGGAATCAGGCGGGAAGTGGTGGGGATAGCGGGGATGGGTTGTTGATTGGGTAGATTGGGGGATGGTAAGGGATGGGGGGTAGATCCAGCCTGGTGGAAAATAGTGCCCTTAACCACTCCTCTTCCCTGGAGTCAGCAGGGGAGAGGAATGGTTTGGGGAGGGGAGGGGGCCGAGTAAATATTATATAAAAGTCATATATGTGTTTTACATATGAGGCTGGTGAGGGTAGTAGTGGTGGTAGTGGTGGGCGTCGATGGTGGTAGCAGGGGGGAGAGGAGGTCCCACTGATGGTCCTGCTTTGAATTATAGCTTTATATATTTATTGGCTTTGAAGCTGTGTTGGCCAGATGGCGATGATGACGATAATGATGACGATAATGATGATGATAATAATGATGATAATGATGACGATGATAATGAGGGTGTAAAATATAGAATTTCACTGTTAATTCTACCACAGGTCACTGGTTTAAGACCCCGTGCTTATTGTGTCAGTCACAGCTGTAATTGGAACTCTTCTTGACTAAGTTCTAGCTAGCATTCATCTGACGCCTTAGGGTAATCACAGTTCATTTAGAATATGGTTAGTGCATACTTCTTATCTTAATAATTATAACATACAATCGGTGAACAATGTTGATGGTGAGGATGATGCTGTTGATTATGATGGATAGTGATGATTTCGGTTTATTAGCTTTTCGACTACACTCTCAAGAGAGAAGAGGACAGAGATAGAGAACGAGAACAGAGTTCTGTATCGTTGGAGAGAACGAGGGAGATATAGAGACAGAGAGACACAGACACACACACACAGAGGATACAATCCCATCATAAAATTGTAACAACTACCAATCAGAAACATACTGACCCACTGCCAAACCGTTTCTGATACCAACATACAGGTTCCTGACCCCTGAGTGACAGCTCTCCACTGCTTGATCCAGTCACTGTGTCGAAGTTAAGAACATAAGAACATAAGAACAAAGGCAACTGCAGAAGGCCTGTTGGCCCATACGAGGCAGCTCCACCCAATCCCACTCATATACATGTCCAACCCATGCTTGAAACAATCGAGGGACCCCACCTCCACAATGTTACGCGGCAATTGGTTCCACAAATCAACAACCCTGTTACTGAACCAGTATTTACCCAAGTCTTTCCTAAATCTAAACTTATACCCATTGTTTCGTGTTCTGTCTTGTGTTGATACTTTTAATACCCTATTAATATCCCCTTTGTTATGTCCATTCACCCACTTGTAAACCTCTATCATGTCACCCCTAACTCTTCGCCTTTCCAGTGAATGCAACTTAAGCTTTGTTAATCTTTCTTCATATGAAAGATTTCTAATTTGGGGAATTAACTTAGTCATCCTACGCTGGACACGTTCAAGTGAATTTATATCCATTCTATAATATGGCGACCAAAACTGAACTGCATAATCTAAATGGGGCCTAACTAGAGTAAGATATAGCTTGAGAACCACACCAGGTGTCTTGTTACTAACGCTGCGATTAATAAATCCAAGTGTCCGATTTGCCTTATTACGAACATTTATGCATTGATCCTTTTGTTTTAAATTCTTACTAATCATAACTCCCAGATCCCTTTCGCAATTCGACTTCGCAATCTCAACACCATCTAGCTCGTATCTTGTAACCCTATCATCATTACCTAACCTCAGAACTTTACATTTATCAGCATTAAACTGCATCTGCCAATCCTTCGACCATTTCAAAACCCTATCTAGATCAACCTGAAGTGATAGTGAGTCCTCCTCCGAATTAATTTCCCTACCGATTTTCGTATCATCGGCAAATGTTGCTACTCAAACCTGAATCTAAATCATTTATATATATTATAAACAACAGGGGTCCCAGGACAGAGCCCTGAGGCACCCCACTTACAACATTTTCCAACTCTGACTTGACTCCATTTATACTAACTCTCTGTTTCCTTTGGTATAGCCATGCCCTAATCCAGCTTAATATAGCACCCCCAATACCATGAGAGACTAACTTTTTAATCAGTCTTTCATGTGGCACTGTATCAAAAGCTTTGCTAAAGTCAAGGTACACAACATCGCAATCCTTAAGAACATAAGAACATAAGAACAAAGGTAACTGCAGAAGGCCTATTGGCCCATACGAGGCAGCTCCTATTCTATAACCACCCAATCCCACTCATATACTTGTCCAACCCGTGCTTGAAACAATCGAGGGACCCCACCTCCACAATGTTACGCGGCAATTGGTTCCACAAATCAACAACCCTGTTACTGAACCAGTATTTACCCAAGTCTTTCCTAAATCTAAACTTATCCAATTTATATCCATTGTTTCGTGTTCTGTCCTGTGTTGATACTTTTAATACCCTATTAATATCCCCCCGGTTATGTCCATTCATCCACTTGTAAACCTCTATCATGTCACCCCTAACTCTTCGCCTTTCCAGTGAATGCAACTTAAGCTTTGTTAATCTTTCTTTATATGAAAGATTTCTAATTTGGGGAATTAACTTAGTCATCCTACGCTGGACACGTTCAAGTGAATTTATATCCATTCTATAATATGGCGACCAAAACTGAACTGCATAATCTAAATGGGGCCTAACTAGAGTAAGATGTAGCTTGAGAACCACACCAGGTGTCTTGTTACTAACACTGCGATTAATAAATCCAAGTGTCCGATTTGCTTTATTACGAACATTTATGCATTGATCCTTTTGTTTTAAATTCTTACTAATCATAACTCTCAGATCCCTTTCGCAATCCGACTTCGCAATCACAACACCATCTAGCTCGTATCTTGTAACTCTATCATCATTACCTAACCTCAGAACTTTACATTTATCAGCATTAAACTGCATGTGCCAATCCTTTGACCATTTCAAAACCCTATCTAGATCAACTTGAAGTGATAGTGAGTCCTCCTCCGAATTAATTTCCCTACCGATTTTCGTATCATCGGCAAATTTGCAAATGTTGCTACTCAAACCTGAATCTATATCATTTATATATATTATAAACAACAGAAGTCCCAGGACAGAGCCTTGAGGCACTCCACTTACAACATTTTCCCACTCTGACTTGATTCCATTTATACTAACTCTCTGTTTCCTTTGGTATAGCCATGCCCTAATCCAGCTTAATATAGCACCCCCAATACCATGAGACTCTATTTTTTTAATCAGTCTTTCATGTGGCACTGTATCAAAAGCTTTGCTAAAGTCAAGGTATACAACATCGCAATCCTTACCACTATCAACTGCCTCAACAATGCTAGAATAAAAAGATAACAAATTTGTTAAACATGAACGGCCATTTATAAAACCATGTTGCGACTCAATTATTAATTTATGTTTTTCAAGATGAAGACGAATTTTATTTGCTATTATAGATTCGAGTAACTTTCCCACAATAGACGTTAGGCTAATTGGTCGATAGTTAGACGCAAGTGATCTATCTCCTTTCTTAAAAACTGGTATCACATTAGCAACTTTCCAAAACTCTGGCACTCTGCCTGACTCTATTGATTTATTAAATATGGTTGACAGTGGGTCACAAAGCTCCTCTTTGCATTCTTTAAGCACCCTAGCAAACACTTCATCCGGCCCTGGGGATTTGTTTGGTTTGAGTTTTACTATTTGTTTAAGAACATCCTCCCTGGTAACTGCTAAACTCGTCAACCTGTCCTCGTCCCCACCCACATAGACTTGTTCGGCTGAAGGCATATTGTTAAGTTCTTCTTTAGTAAATACAGATACAAAATATTTATTAAAAATACTACTCATCTCTTCATCACTATCTGTTATTTGACCTGTCTCAGTTTTTAATGGACCTATCCTTTCCCTAGTCTTAGTACGATATAACTGAAAAAACCCTTTAGGATTTGTCTTTGCTTGCCCTGCTATGCGAACTTCATAGTTTCTTTTTGCTTTCCTTATCTCTTTTTTAACATTTCTAACCAGTTGTACGAATTCCTGTTCTAAAGTGACCTCCCCATTTTTAATCCTTTTGTACCAAGCTCTCTTTTTACCTATAAGGTTCTTCAAATTCTTTGTTATCCACTTTGGGTCATTAGTATACGATCTATTCAATTTGTATGGTATACTACGTTCCTGTGCTTTGTTTAGATTATTCTTAAATAAGTTATATATTGAATCCACATCGAAATCCCCATTTAAGTCACCTATCGCTGGGTTCATGTCTCGCTCCAAGACCGGCCCACACCCCATACCCAAGCCTTTCCAATCAATTTGACCCAAAAAATTTCTTAGGCTATTAAAATCAGCTTTTCGAAAATCTGGCACTTTAACAGAATTTTCTCCTACTGGTCTATTCCATTCTATGCTAAATCTGATTTCTTTGTGATCACTGCTCCCTAGCTCACTCCCTATTTCGATGTCATTAATTTGCGTTTCCCTGCTAGTTAACACTAAATCTAAAATATTATTTTCCCGTGTTGGTTCCTTAATGTGTTGAGTAAGAAAGCAATCGTCAATTATTTCTAGAAAATCTTCTGCTTCACTATTCCCTGTTTTGTTCAACCAGTTTATTCCGCTAAAATTAAAGTCACCCATGACATAAATACTGTTAGATCTAGATGCTCTAGATATTTCATCCCATAGATGCTTTGCTTCCATTCTGTCTAAATTTGGTGGCCTATATATTACTCCTATTATAATATTATTAGCTTTTTCGTTTAATTCAATCCAAATAGTTTCTGAGTGTGGCTCTGTTTTGATTCCCTCTTGAGACTACATTTCAAATTGTCCCTAACATATATGGCTACTCCACCTCCTCGTCTAATATATCTATCTGTGTGAAATAGTTTAAATCCATATATTTGATATTCAGCTAATAGTTCTCTATTTTCTACATTCATCCACGTTTCGGTAAGTGCAATAATATCTATTTTTTCTGTGCAGACAAGAGCATTTAATTCGTTAATTTTATTTCTTAGACTTCTACTGTTAGTGTAATATACCCTAAGTGAATTGTTATTTTGCGGACCTTCTCTTTCCCTGATCGTTTTGCCAATTCCTTTCTCCCACAAACACATACTTTTATTACCTCCTTCCTCCAAATCAATTCCCATACCTCTATCTACTAACAGTTTAAACCCAAACAAACACCTCTAACCACTTCTTCTAGCGAGTTCGCAACAGCAACAACCCCAGCTCTCGATAGATGCACCCCATCACGAGCATACATTTCATTTCTTCCATAGAAGTGTTCCCAGTTGTCTATGAAAGATATTGCATTTGATTTGCAATATCTTTCCAGCCGGCAATTGACACCAAGTGCCCTCGATATCCATTCATTTCCCACTCCCTTTCTTGGAAGAATGCCACATATGATCGGGATTCCTCCCTTGCTCCTAACTAACTCTATGGCTGTTTTATACCTCTGAATCAGTTCCTCACTCCTGACTCGACCAACATCATTTCCTCCCACGCTAATGCAAATAATGGGATTGTTCCCATTACCAGCCATAATATCATTCATGTTGTTTATAATATCACCAATGCCAGCTCCGGGATAGCAAACCCTTAACCTGTTCCCCCTATCTCTAGCACAAAACGTTCTATCCAAATACCTTATCTGGGAATCTCCCACAACTAATGTTTGCTTAGGTACTTCCTTTACTTTCTGAGGGGCCTGCGCTTCCTTTCTCTTCGTTGCTTTCCCTTTTGCGCGATCCACAGTCTCTCCACAGCACTCGTCCTCCAAAACGTCAAATGAATTTGAAGTTGCTATGGCGTTTGAAGGCGGCTTTATCAAGGTCTTCTTAAGGCCCCTGTCTTTCGCAACTCTCCAAGACGAGGTCCCTTTACTGCTGGTCTCCTCCTTCGTTACTTCTCGTTGTTTTTTAAGCTGACGCACCTCCTCCCGCAGAGAGTCCAACTCTGTCCTCAGGGCTCCCACTAGAGTCACCAGGTCCTTCACTACAACTTCCATATTGCTATGATAAAATAACAACACTCAGGAGCTCCGGTTAACACAACCTCACACTGTGACTTCACCTGACCGACTCTAACTATCACTATCAACTGCCTCAACAATGCTAGAATAAAAAGATAACAAATTTGTTAAACATGAACGGCCATTTATAAAACCATGTTGCGACTCAATTATTAATTTATGTTTTTCAGATGAAGACGAATTTTATTTGCTATTATAGATTCGAGTAACTTTCCCACAATAGACGTTAGGCTAATTGGTCGATAGTTAGACGCAAGTGATCTATCTCCTTTCTTAAAAACTGGTATCACATTAGCAACTTTCCAAAACTCTGGCACTCTGCCTGACTCTATTGATTTATTAAATATGGTTGACAGTGGGTCACAAAGCTCCTCTTTGCATTCTTTAAGCACCCTGGCAAACACGTCATCCGGCCCTGGGGATTTGTTTGGTTTGAGTTTTACTATTTGTTTAAGAACATCCTCCCTGGTAACTGTTAAACTCGTCAACCTGTCCTCGTCCCCACCCACATAGACTTGTTCGGCTGAAGGCATATTGTTAAGTTCCTCTTTAGTAAATACAGATACAAAATATTTATTAAAAATACTACTCATCTCTTCATCACTATCTGTTATTTGACCTGTCTCAGTTTTTAATGGACCTATCCTTTCCCTAGTCTTAGTACGATATAACTGAAAAAACCCTTTAGGATTTGTCTTTGCTTGCCCTGCTATGCGAACTTCATAGTTTCTTTTTGCTTTCTTAATCTCTTTTTTAACATTTCTAACCAGTTGTACGAATTCCTGTTCTAAAGTGACCTCCCCATTTTTAATCCTTTTGTACCAAGCTCTTTTTTTACCTATAAGGTTCTTCAAATTCTTTGTTATCCACTTTGGGTCATTGGTATTCGATCTATTCAGTTTGTATGGTATACTACGTTCCTGTGCTTTGTTTGGAATATTCCTAAACAAGTTATATATTGAATCCACATCGAAATCCCCATCCACGTCACCCATCGCCGGGCCCATGTCTCGCTCCAAGACCGGCCCCCACCCCACACCCAAGACTTTCCAATCAATTTGACCCAAAAAATTTCTAAGGCTACCAAAATCAGCTTTTCGAAAATCTGGCACTTTAACAGAATTTTCTCCTACAGGTCTATTCCATTCTATGCTAAATCTGATTTCTTTGTGATCACTGTTCCCTAGCTCACTCCCTATTTCGATGTCATTAACTTGTGTTTCCCTGTTAGTTAACACTAAATCTAAAATATTATTTTCCCGTGTTGGTTCCTTAATGTGTTGCGTAAGAAAGCAATCGTCAATTAATTCTAGAAAATCTTTTGCTTCACTATTCCCTGTTTTGTTCAACCAGTTTATTCCACTAAAATTAAAGTCACCCATGACGTAAATACTGTTAGATCTAGATGCCTTAGATATTTCATCCCATAGATGCTTTGCTTCCATTCTGTCTAAATTTGGTGGCCTATATATAACTCCTATTATAATATTATTTGCTTTTTCCTATAATTCTATCCAATAGTTTCTGTGTGTGGCTCAGTTTTGATTCCCTCTTTGAGACTACATTTCAAATTGTCCCTAACATATATGGCTACTCCCCCTCCTCGTCTAATATATCTATCTGTGTGAAATAGTTTAAATCCATTTATTTGATATTCAGCTAAAATTTCTCTATTTTCTACATTCATCCACGTTTCGATAAGTGCAATAATATCTATTTTTTCTGTGCAGACAAGAGCATTTAATTCGTTAATTTTATTTCTTAGATTTCTACTGTTAGTGTAATATACCCTAAGTGAATTGTTATTTTGAGGCCCTTTCTTTCCCTGATCATTTTGCCAATTCCTTTCTCCCACAAACACATACTTTTATTTCCTCCTTCTTCCAAATCAAGTCCCATACCTCTATCTACTAACAGTTTAAACCCAAACAAACACCTCTAACCACTTCTTCCAACGAGTTCGCAACAGCAACAACCCCAGCTCTCGATAGATGCACCCCATCACGAGCATACATTTCATTTCTTCCATAGAAGTGTTCCCAGTTGTCTATGAAAGATATTGCATTTGATTTGCAATATCTTTCCAGCCGGCAATTGATACCAAGTGCCCTCGATATCCATTCATTTCCTACTCCCTTTCTTGGAAGAATGCCACATATGATCGGGATTCCTCCCTTGCTCCTAATTCAATGACTGTCCTGAATCTCTGTATTAGTTCCTCACTCCTAACTCGTCCAACATCATTACCCCTGCACTAATACAAATAATGGGTTTGTTTCCATTTCCTGTCATAATATCATTCATGTTTCCAACAATATCACCAATTCCAGCTCCCGGATAGCAAACCCTTAATCTGTTCCCCCTATCTCTGGCACAAAACGTTCTGTCTAAATACCTCACCTGGGAATCTCCCACAACCAAAACCAGCTGACCTGACCAAAACAGCTGACCTGACCGTCAAGTTGTCTGAAGTGGTTGTTAGACAGCTTGAAGTCACCAGTTTCACAAATTATTCGAGGAGGAAAACAATGGGATCGAGCAAGATCAGTCCGAGATTGTTACAGATCTACGTGGATCCACTGACTTCGCCCGTCACTCGCTGCTACCAACTCTGGCCACCACAATGTATATGGCCTCATCTCTGAAGGTAGGGCAACCCGCTCTCGCACAAGACAGTACATATACGACTTATTGCTTATGGTCACTATTTGGCTGATTAATAAGTACATATGTGGTATATGCCAAGTTATATTTTGTTTTTAAGGTACTAACTCTTGATACAGATTTGCTAAACACCAGTTTTAATAATAGGAATTTGGTTTTCAGTTTTATTAAACAATAGAGATTTTATACAATATTTGACAATATCCTGAGTTACTTTACAATTTATTTAAATATTTTGGTTTTGTTTTATTATTTTTATAAAACTGTAATATCAACATATGCATAGATTAAGTACTAATTGTAATTAAGAAGCAATAAGATGCTTATCTTAGCATACTAAGAAGGTTTGGTTAGGTCGGTGTTTTCTATTCAGCTTTTGATGATAAACTAAAATATTCACAATAAATTAGTATGCCACATATGCACTTATTAATAAGCCAATATTGACTATAAGCAAGTGCGAGAACGGGTTGGGTAGGTAGATATAAACACAGTTCGTAAAAGAAAGAGTCAGTCAACTGTCAGCAGCTACAGACCAGTCGCTGGTTATGTTTGGAAACCGTCAAGCGTGGCAGCTGACCTGCTGGATGTGACAGCTGACTTGCCGGATGTGGCAGCTGACCTGCCGGATGTGGCAGCTGACCTGCCAGGTGTGACAGCTGACCTGCCGGATGTGACAGCTGACCTGCCGGATGTGACAGCTGACCTGCCGGATGTGACAGCTGACCTGCCGGATGTGACAGCTGACCTGCCAGGTGTGACAGCTGACCTGCCGGATGTGACAGCTGACCTGCCGGATGTGACAGCTGACCTGCCGGATGTGACATCTGACCTGCCGGATGTGACAGCTGACCTGCCGGATGTGACAGCTGACCTGCCGGATGTGACATCTGACCTGCCGGATGTGACAGCTGACCTGCCGGATGTGACAGCTGACCTGCCGGATGTGACAACTGACCTGCCAGGTGTGACAGCTGACCTGCCGGATGTGACAGCTGACCTGCCGGATGTGACAGCTGACCTGCCGGATGTGACATCTGAACTGCCGGATGTGACAGCTGACCTGCCGGATGTGACAGCTGACCTGCCGGATGTGACAGCTGACCTGCCGGATGTGACATCTGACCTGCCGGATGTGACAGCTGACCTGCCGGATGTGACAGCTGACCTGCCGGATGTGACAACTGACCTGCCAGGTGTGACAGCTGACCTGCCGGATGTGACAGCTGACCTGCCGGATGTGACAGCTGACCTGCCGGATGTGACATCTGACCTGCCGGATGTGACAGCTGACCTGCCGGATGTGACAGCTGACCTGCCGGATGTGACAGCTGACCTGCCGGATGTGACATCTGACCTGCCGGATGTGACAGCTGACCTGCCGGATGTGACAGCTGACTTGCCGGATGTGACAGCTGACTTGCCGGATGTGACAGTTGACCTGCTGGATGTGACAGCTGACCTGCCGGATGTGACAGCTGACCTGCCGGATGTGACAGTTGACCTGCCGGATGTGACAGCTGACCTGCCGGATGTGACAGCTGACCTGCCGGATGTGACAGCTGACCTGCCGGATGTGACAGCTGACCTGCCGGATGTGACAGCTGACCTGCCGGGTGTGACAGCTGACCTGCCGGATGTGACAGCTGACCTGCCGGGTGTGACAGCTGACCTGCCGGATGTGACAGCTGACCTGCCGGATGTGACAGTTGACCTGCCGGATGTGACAGCTGACCTGCCGGATGTGACAGCTGACCTGCCGGATGTGACAGTTGACCTGCCGGATGTGACAGCTGACCTGCCGGATGTGACAGCTGACCTGCCGGATGTGACAGCTGACCTGCCGGATGTGACAGCTGACCTGCCGGATGTTACAGCTGACCTGCCGGATGTGACAGCTGACCTGCCGGATGTGACAGCTGACCTGCCGGGTGTGACAGCTGACCTGCCGGGTGTGACACCTGACCTGCCGGATGTGACAGCTGACCTGCCGGGTGTGACAGCTGACCTGCCGGGTGTGACAGCTGACCTGCCGGATGTGACAGCTGACCTGCCGGGTGTGACAGCTGACCTGCCGGGTGTGACAGCTGACCTGCCGGATGTGACAGCTGACCTGCCGGGTGTGACAGCTGACCTGCCGGATGTGACAGCTGACCTGCCGGATGTGGCAGCTGACCTGCCGGATGTGACAGCTGACCTGCCGGATGTGACAGCTGACCTGCCGGATGTGGCAGCTGACCTGCCGGATGTGGCAGCTGACCTGCCGGATGTGGCAGCTGACCTGCCGGATGTCTACCAGACGAAGGACGAGTAGTAAGGGCAGCAAAAAAGTGTCATTATTATTAAGTCTGTGAGTTAAGTGACACCTTGACTCCTACATGCCGGAGCGAGATGCACTAACCAGTTTACCATCTACTCAAGGAGCTACGGGCGACAAGGCCGCACATGTGGCAACATAAACGTATGAAATTTAAGCTCACAACAGATTCGTGCCATTTTGTTGAGGTTGTTGACTTGTGTTTAAGGAAAATCGCTTGTTTCTTGCAGAAATAGGGAGTATAAGCAGGGCAACATAACTCACTGGTGTTGCATATAATAGTACTACATATAGAGTTCTTACTTACATTATCAATCGGCTTTAATATTTATATATAATCATTTTTTATCTTCTGAAAGCTACCTGATGCTTTAAGTGTGGGACTCACAGTGAAACACTTCTGAAAGTTGTTTCCTCCAAAAAGCGGTTGTGCGTCTGAGTCTCAGGTAAGTATAGCGACGGGTTTCCAACCAGGACTCCCATTTGGTGATGTGTTGGTGGGGTGTTGGTGGTGTGTTGGTGGGGTGCTGGTGGTGTGTTGGTGGTGTGTTGGTGGGGTGTTGGTGGTGTGTTGGTGGTGTGTTGGTGATGTGTTGGTGGTGTGTTGGTGGTGTGTTGGTGGTGTGTTGGTGATGTATTGGTGGTGTGTTGGTGGTGTGTTGGTGGTGTGTTGGTGGTGTGTTGGTGGTGTGTTGGTGGTGTGTTGGTGGGGTGTTGGTGGGGTGTTGGTGGTGTGTTGGTGGGGTGTTGGTGGGTGTGTTGGTGGTGTGTTGGTGGGGTGTTGGTGGTGTGTTGGTGGGGTGTTGGTGGGGTGTTGGTGGTGTGTTGGTGGTGTGTTGGTGGTGTGTTGGTGGTGTGTTGGTGGTGTGTTGGTGGTGTGTTGGTGATGTGTTGGTGGTGTGTTGGTGGTGTGTTGGTGGTGTGTTGGTGATGTGTTGGTGGTGTGTTGGTGGTGTGTTGGTGGTGTGTTGGTGGTGTGTTGGTGGTGTGTTGGTGGTGTGTTGGAGGTGTGTTGGTGGGTGTGTTGGTGGTTGTGTTGGGTGGTGTGTTGGTGATGTTTTGGTGATGTTTGGTGGTGTGTGTTGGAGGGGTGATGATGGTTGTGTTGGTGGTTGTGTTGGTGGTGTGTTTGGTGGTGTGGTTGGTGGTGTGTTGATGGTGTGTTGGTGATGTGTTGGTGATGTTTTGGTGGTGTGTTGGAGGGGTGATGGTGGTGTGTTGGTGGTGTGTTGGTGGTGTGTTGGTGGTGTGTGTTGGTGATGTTTTGGTGGTGTGTTGGAGGGGTGATGGTGGTGTGTGTTGCTGTGGTGTGTTGGTGGTGTGTTGGTGATGTTTTAGTGGTGTGTTGGAGGGGGTGATGGTGGTGTGTTGGTGGTGTGTTGGTTGTGTGTTGGTGGTGTGTTGGTGGTGTGTAGGTGGGGATGGTCGTGGTGGGTGTGGGGGTGGTGGGTAGGGGTAGGGGGGCGTGTTAGTGCAGCCCGGTGTGGGAGGGAAGCCTCAGTCGTAATGAAATTGCCCCCACACACCACACACACACACTCTCCTCTCTCCTCCCTCTCTCTCTCTCTCTCTCTCCTCTCCCTCCTCATCTCTTCTCTCTCTCTCTCTCTCCTCTCTCTCTCTCTCTCTCTCCTCTATCTCTCTCTCTCTCTCTGTCTCTGTCTCTGTCTCTGTCTCTGTCTCTGTCTCTGTCTCTCTCTCTCTCTCTCTCTCCTCTCTATCTCTCTCTCTCTCTCTCTCTCTTATCTCTGTCTCTCTGTCTCTCTCTGTCTCTCTGTCTCTCTCTGTTCTCTCTCTCTCTATCTCTCTCTCTCTCCTCTCGCTATCTCTCTCTCTCTCTCTCTCCTCTCTCTCTCTCTCTCTCTCTCTCTCTCTCCCTCTCTCTCTCTCTCCCTCTCTCTCTCTCTCTCTCTCTCTCTCTCTCTCTCTCTCTCTCTCTCCTCTCTCTCTCTCTCTCTCTCTCCTCACTGAAATAACCACCCCTACATCATCCATGTCGAAATCAGTCCTACAATATAAGAGATGTGTGTACACACACACCACGGGAGCCTGGTGGATAGCGCGCAGTACTCGTGATTCTGTGGCACGGGTTAGATTCCCGCACTAGGCAGAAACAAATGGGCAAAGTTTCTTTCATCCTGAATGCCCCTGTTACCTAACAGTAAATAGGTACCTGGGAGTTAGTCAGCTGTTACGGGCTGCTTCCTGGGGAGTGTGTGTGGGGATTTTGAGGAGATGGATATTCAGGGCTGTGAAGGTTTCAGTGACTACATAGCAGGTACTGTAACAAATGGAGGGAAAAAAATTATAGTCGCAGTCATATATAATCCACCACCAAATGACAGAAGACCTAGACAGGAATATGATAGAAACAACATGGCCACCATTAACATAATAGAAAGAGCAGCTTCTGTTGCTAGCAGGAATGGATCTGGACTACTAATTATGGGAGACTTCAACCATGGGAAGATAGATTGGAAGAACAGAGACCCGCATGGAGGACCAGAAACATGGAGAGCTAAGCTGCTGGACGTGGCAACAAGAAACTTTCTAAGCCAGCATACCAAAGAGCCAACAAGAATGAGAGGAGAAGATGAACCAGCAATGCTTGATTTGATATTTACCCTAAATGAATGGGATATAAGGGAAGTTAAGATGGAAGCGCCCTTGGGAATGAGTGACCACAGTGTATTGAACTTTGAGTACCTGGTAGAGCTAGGACTTATCTCCCCCCAAAAAGAACTAGGAATCAAAAGGCTGGCATACCGAAAGGGGAATTATGAACAGATGAGAAGTTTCCTAAGTGAAATACCTTGGGACACAGACCTCAGAGACAAGTCTGTACAGGGTATGATGGACTATGTTACCCAAAAGTGTCAGGAGGCAGTAAACAGGTTCATCCCGGCCCAAAGGGAAAAATCCGAGAAGCAACAAAAGAATCCATGGTATAATAGGGCATGTATGGAAGCGAAGAAACTGAACAAGAAGGCGTGGAGGAACTTCCGGAATAACAGAACACCAGAAAGCAGGGAGAGATACCAGAGAACCAGGAATGAGTACGTCAGGGTGAGAAGAGAAGCAGAGAAAATTTTTGAAAATGATATAGCAAACAAAGCCAAGACCGAACCAAAGCTACTCCACAGTCACATCAGAAGGAAAACAACAGTGAAAGAACAGGTATTGAAACTTAGAACAGGCGAGGACAGGTATACAGAGAATGACAGAGAGGTGTGTGAGGAACTCAACAAGAGGTTCCAGGAGGTCTTCACAATAGAACAGGGTGAGGTCACTGTGCTAGGAGAAAGGGAGGTAAACCAGGCGGCCTTGGAGGAGTTCGAAATTACGAGAGAGGAGGTCAAGAGACACCTGCTGGATCTGGATGTTAGAAAGGCGGTTGGTCCAGATGGGATCTCACCATGGGTACTGAAAGAGTGTGCAGAGGCACTTTGCTTGCCACTCTCCATAGTGTATAGTAAATCACTAGAGACGGGAGACCTACCAGAAATATGGAAGACGGCGAATGTGGTCCCAATATACAAAAAGGGCGACAGACAAGAGGCACTGAACTACAGGCCAGTGTCCTTGACTTGTATACCATGCAAGGTGATGGAGAAGATCGTGAGAAAAACCTGGTAACACATCTGGAGAGAAGGGACTTCGTGACAAATCGCCAACATGGATTCAGGGAGGGTAAATCTTGCCTTACAGGCTTGATAGAATTCTACGATCAGGTGACACAGATTAAGCAAGAAAGAGAGGGCTGGGCGGACTGCATTTTCTTGGATTGTCGGAAAGCCTTTGACACAGTACCGCATAAGAGGCTGGTACATAAGCTGGAGAGACAGGCAGGTGTAGCTGGTAAGGTGCTCCAGTGGATAAGGGAGTATCTAAGCAATAGGAAGCAGAGAGTTACGGTGAGGGGTGAGACCTCCGATTGGCGTGAAGTCACCAGTGGAGTCCCACAGGGCTCTGTACTCGGTCCTATCTTGTTTCTGATATATGTAAATGATCTCCCGGAGGGTATCGATTCATTTCTCTCAATGTTTGCGGACGATGCTAAAATTATGAGAAGGATTAAAACAGAAGAGGACTGTTTGAGGCTTCAAGAAGACCTAGACAAGCTGAAGGAATGGTCGAACAAATGGTTGTTAGAGTTTAACCCAACCAAATGTAATGTAATGAAGATAGGTGTAGGGAGCAGGAGGCCAGATACAAGGTATCATCTGGGAGAGGAAATTCTTCAGGAGTCAGAGAAGGAAAAAGACTTGGGGGTTGATATCACGCCAGACCTGTCTCCTGCAGCACATATCAAGCGGATAACATCAGCGGCATATGCCAGGCTGGCCAACATACGAACGGCATTCAGAAACTTGTGTAAAGAATCATTCAGAACTTTGTATACCACATATGTCAGGCCAATCCTGGAGTATGCAGCCCCAGCATGGAGTCCATATCTAGTCAAGGATAAGACTAAACTGGAAAAGGTTCAAAGGTTTGCCACCAGACTAGTACCCGAGCTGAGAGGTATGAGCTACGAGGAGAGACTACGGGAATTAAACCTCACTTCGCTGGAAGACAGAAGAGTTAGGGGGGACATGATCACCACATTCAAGATTCTGAAGGGGATTGATAGGGTAGATAAAGACAGTCTATTTAACACAAGGGGAACACGCACAAGGGGACACAGGTGGAAACTGAGTGCCCAAATGAGCCACAGAGATATTAGAAAGAACTTTTTTAGTGTCAGAGTGGTTGACAAATGGAATGCATTAGGGGGTGATGTGGTGGAGGCTGACTCCATACACAGTTTCAAGTGTAGATATGACAGAGCCCGATAGGCTCAGGAATCTGTACACCTGTTGATTGACGGTTGAGAGGCGGGACCAAAGAGCCAGAGCTCAACCCCCGCAAACACAACTAGGTGAGTACAACTAGGTGAGTACACACACACACACACACACACACACCAACACACACACACACACACACACACACCA